CTTCCATTTAGTAACTGTAGCGATTTTTCGTTTGTCCATCCTTATCTTGTTATATAAGATCTTATGGCCTAAATACATTACTTAGTTTTAATAGAAATGGCTTTTTATAGGTTTAATAAGTATATTAGCGTCTTATAGTGCTTTTAAGACCTTATAGACGTATTTTATATGCTCTTCTTCTGTATTAGAGAAGATAAGGATATTGTCTAGGTAGTAAACTATAAAGATATTAAGATACTCTTAAAGTACGTTTGTAATTATCCTTTAAAATACCGCAGGGGCATTTATAAGTCCAAAAGGCATAACTAGGTATTTAAACAGTCTGTATTTTGTTTAGAATGCTGTTTTCTATTTATTACTTTCCTTAATCCTGATTAAGTTATAGGCAGCTTTAAGGTCTAGAGCTATAAAGAATTATTTTCTAAACAGTCTATCCTTAAGTTTAGTAATAAGAGGTAAAGGCATTCTATCCTTCTCTGTGATTTTATTAAGTTACTAATAGTCTATAACTAGTTATAAATTATCTATATTTAGTTTTAAAATAAATATAATAAGGTATCCTACTAAGGATTTTAAGGTCTAAATATATCCCTTTTTAAGTATATTTTCTAACTATTCTTTTAACGTTATAAGTTCTGTTTTTACAAGGTTATAGATTAAAAAGAATTTTAGGTTCTTACTATCTTTTAGAACTATTTTAATGTTTTAATATAAGTATTTTAGGAGTTTTATTTTTAACTTTTCTATAAAGAGTTTCTTATAGATATAATACTAAATTAATATATTCTTAAGTTATTTATTAGATTCCTTGCTAGCAATCTGTTTTATTTGTTATAGATCTTGGTTTAATTGTCTAAATTGGCCTTTAAGAGTTGCTATTATTTATCTAATGCGTTTTATTTTACCCTTATAGTATTTATATTATATTTCTTTTAGAATAGGCAATATTATATTACTCCTGTCTTTACTGCTCTTATTAGTTAAAGTTTAAGATCTTATATTATTATTATCTAAATTAGTTTTATTATCTAAAGGGTAATCTTTATAGGTTACCTGGCTAGTTCTTTAGTTAAATTATAGGTTGTAGCGTTTTAGCTATAGGTATTTAAGTATTAAGTTATATTCCTATATAGGAATAATGTTAAGGTTAATGCCTTGGTTCTTTTTATTAATAAATACCTTTAAGTAATTAATCTCTTAGGTAATATTTCCGTTCTTATAGGTATAAGCATTTCCTTCTTTACTTTATACTATATAGGGGTTTTTCTTATTTTCCTATAGTAGTTTTAGCTTATTAACCATATTAGGGGAAATAAGGTTTATAACTACTTTGCTATTTATAAGTGCGTTTAGCTACTTGCCTTTAATTCTGACTTTTAAGTTTAGGTATGTTTGTTGTTTATTGTTAACTGTAGTTTATAGAGCCTTTGTAAGAAGTTTGTTTTCTATTGCTCTTTTACTTATCTAGCGCTCTGTTACAGATAGCAGTATTCTTTTCCTATCTATAGGTAATTGTAACTACACTTGCTATCTATGTAGTTAATATTATCGGGGTATTTATATTAGTAAGCCAGTTTGTTCTAATACTTAGCTTCTATTTATGTAATTTGTTTATCTAAGGTAGCCTTTTTAGCTTCCTGACTTTCTTTATTACTATCCGGTCCTAACTGTTTTGTAGTCTAGTTATGTTTTATTATATTACTTTATTTATTTTCTAGCTTATTAACCTTAGCGATGGCTTTATGGATTTTTCTATTTAAGGTTTTTTCTTTAATATCCTTTTCGTTCTGTACCTTCTGTCTCTATTTAATAATATGGTGTAAATTTTAGATATAGTTTAGGGCTTATTCTTATGTTTTAGTATTAGCTCGGAGCTAGACTACTTAAGTTCCTTTAAATCTTTTTATAACTTAGTATCCTAAGGTGTTAATAATTAGGTAGGGTTTTTATTCCCTATATTCCTTTATTTATACTAGAAAGCAGTTATTTATTTCCTTTATTTGTCTATGCTGTAGGCAGTAGTATTATATATATAATATTTAGGATATTTACTAGTATTCTAGGTGTTTTAGGTACCTCCGGGGGTCCTTTTTTGCTTAGATTTTTTCCTTAGGTATTGTTAGGTCTTTTACTTTATCTTTAGTGTATGCTTAGATATAGATATTATTGTCTTGTTTTGTAATTACTCTTTCTCTAGCTAATTTAGTGTATTTAAGTGCTTTACTATACTATACTCTATTTCTAAGTTTATTATATTAAGGTATAATCTTTATATTCCAGATTGTATAATTTACCCTTTACCTAATCTTCTTTACCTTAAAGTCTTAGCTAGTTCTTAATATTAATATATAATTTAGGTTACTATAATATCGGTTTAGTCTGTTAACTGTAGTTCTAACAGGGATCTTATTTATACTTATATAGTTATTTAATTAAATAATTCCGTTTTAAACTTTAATAGGTATTCCTGTTTTTATAAATATCTGGTTTAGTATATTATTGAGTTTTTAGTTGAATTTCTATGTACTAGGTTTGTTGTCTGGTTTAGGGTTAATTTCCTTTCCTTTTCTGACTATGGTAATAATTCTTTTAGTTGCTTGGATTTCTTCTGGTTTAGGAATGGGTATCTATTTGAGTTTAACCTTTTTATTGCATTTTCTGTATAGTTTCCTTTTTCTTTAGTTTTATTATTCTTTTATTTTTTCTCTGGTCTTAAGATATAGTATTTTTAATGTTAGCACTGGATACCTAAGTATAGGTTGTTCTTCTTTTAGTACCTTAGGGTAGTACTTATTAAGTATTTGTTCCTTGCTAAGGAATGGGTTACGTATAGTTGCAAAGTAGTCTGTTCCTGATCTGTTATATCCTGATCTGGTTATATTAATTGTTTTAATTACTATTTAAGGTTTATTGTTATCCCTCTTAGTAGTGCTAATTGTTTTATTTTCTAGTACTGGTCTGTACTTTTAGTTAGTTTTAATAGGGTTTTTATATTCTTAATTAAAATATCCCTTTTTACTATAATTCCAGTAAGTAATCTTAGACTTATCTTTTTTAGTTATCTTAATAGTTATTAGTCCTGCTTCTGTTTTATATAAGGTGTTATTGTTCTGTCTTTTTCCTTAGTTTATATTATAGTAAGGCTTATTTCCTTATTATCCTTAAAAGTTTTAGTTATTACAAGTTCTTTATATAAACTAGTAGTTATTAATTTTTACTATTATGCTAATGTATTTTATAAGGGTATCTGGTTATAGTAGTTTATATAATTTAGCTTAGATAGTTTCTTTAAGTTTATTAAAAAAGAGTAATATTAAAGCGTCTTAGTTCTATAGAAGCTTAGATATAAGTTGCTAATACTTAGCGCTGTATTTAGAGGCTGACTTTATTTACTTAAGGGCTTTAATATATCTTTTTACATATCCTTTTTTATTAACTGTCTTAAAAGCTTACTTAAGTGCATTCTTAAATGTATTATAGCTATTATATAGTATAAATGTTTAAGGTTAAAGTTTAGTCTTAGGTTTAGTAGTATATTCTTTTATAGTAGGTTAAAACTATTATATAGCTATGCCCTTAAGGCGTCTAGCGGTATATATAGTTTTAGTAAAATCTCTTCTAAACTGTATTAAGTAATAGATTATAAAGGCTTTATACTAGGTAAGGAATATAGCTAGTTTACTAGGGGTTCTGTTAAATGGCTTAGGCGGATTAGGCTTAAGTATTTCTTTAGCGTTTCTGTCTGTAGCTGCAGTGGTAGCGAGGTTATAAAATTCCTAAATGTTATTCTGGTTAGCGTTAGCTTAAGCGGTTTAGAGAGCAACTATCTCCTTTAGGAGTTAATGCATTTCGTTAAGGTTATTAGTAATACCTGTAAGCTAATCGTAAAGTCTCCTAACTTCTAAATCCTTAGAGCTATCTAAAGAGTTATTATTATTTATATTCTAATCTGTAGGTAAATAATTATTAATAGAAACAGGGTTATTATTAGTAATAGCTTATTACTAAATGGGGTTAATAGGTATAGCTATTACGTAAGTATTGCTTAGTATTACGCAGTATAGTCTAAATAAGAGCTATTAACGTGTAATAGTTAAGTCTAACTGTATTAAACTAAGCTGTGCTTAGGTTTATTATTAGCAGATTGTATAGGGCATATACTAAGCATTATTAAAGTATTATATCTCTTAATAGTAGATTTAATATGTATTAAGCTTAATTAATATAAAGAAGTGTTATTAATAGCTAGTAAGCTAAGTTCTATTTAATGCTAAATAAATATATATATATACTTATAGTTTCTTAGTAGGAGCAACGTAATATAAGGTTACTATTAGTCCTGGAGCGACGCGGTCCTGGAGCGCTATCAGTCTAATATTAGTTAGTCCTGTCCTGCTTAGTCTAATGTTAGGTCTTATAAGTGTTAGTAGATGTAGGCTGTAGTATCTTTATTAGGTAAATTTTATAGGGTATGATTTTACACATAACGTAACCGCTAAGGTTGTAATAATATAGTTATTAAATTTATTAAAAAATACTAATATATAAAAAAACCTTAACTTAAAGAGAGTTTTATAATAATATATATATTAGTATAATTAAGAAAAAGGTTAAAAAGAAGGTTTAAAGTAATTAAAAGGTAGTAATAAAGTTAAGTTTATAAATTAATTATAAGGTTAAAAAATACACTTTAACTTTAATATAATAAAAGTATTCTTTAAATTATTTACTACTAACTAAGTTAGGGTAAATAATAATAGTATCTTAATAACTATATTACCTAACTACACGCAATATATAGTATACTAATAGATCTACAGGCACGCAAGAAGCAGTAAAAGGGCTTCTGGGCGTGGTAAAAGTTCCTTATTACATTAAGGCACTGGACTTAGCGTATCTATCTAAGTATAAATATACGCGTAACAGGCTAGTACAGGAAACCAATTTAGTCAAGGGCTTGGCAAAAACACTTACTATTAAATTTACTTAGTACCCTAACCCTATGTAATCTTATCATGGCTATTAGAGGTTAGTTAACGTTAAGTCCTTATAGTAATATTATTAACCGCGCCCATTCCTGGGGGGCAGCACTGGCACCGCCTTGCATTGCCACCAAGCCCGGTAGGTCGTGTACGTTTATAGCTTCGGCCGTCTCATTGCCCATATTGCTCTTTCCATAGTGGCTTTGTGGTTTTCCGGTTACCCCGGGTATAAGAGGTACTCCAGGAAATGCCTTTTTCGCTGGATGTGGAGGAGCTGCGGCAATGGGCACAACGCCCTTGAGGCTACTTGGAGAACTAGGATTGTCATAGCAACTTGTTGGCGGTGTGCTGGGAACAGGGCTTTCTTCCGCAGGTTCGCTCCATGCAGCCCATGACGAAGTCGAGTCTTTCATGGTGTTCGTTGTTACTGGATTCGAAGACTCAGGTATGTTGGCAGAGGTCCCAGCAGACAAGATTCGGGTTCCCCCAACTGGCATGCTGGCGCCAGAGCCAAGTCTTCACTTCTTGATGACATCTGTCTTCAACGAGAGCGGTCTGGCGACCCCATGAAGCTTCAGGAACAGGCCGCAGGCATTGCAAAAAGGTTGACCCTCAGGATTGCGCCGCCACAATGGAGTTATTTGAGTGGAGCAGTTCGTGCAAGTTGTGGGCACACTCTTGTCGCCTAGAGTCAAAAGATTCCGCTCTGTCGGCACGTTGCTTTGGGTGAGGACATGTCGGTTTGTATCAGCACGTCCTTCACCCTCATGCTCGTCCGCAGCGAGTGTGGACATGTTCTCCTGGGTTACAGGCAACAAGTGTGACTGGACTTGCTCACCAGGCTGGACCTCTTCATGTTTAATGGGTTGCATGTGGGCAAGCCTATTGACTGTAGTGGTAGTTGGTAGGAGGTCGGAGGTCGTAGTCGCCTTCCGTAAATTGGCTTTCTCTGGGGCATCCGGTCGGAAGCCTTGATGGCCTATATCCATAGATGTAAAAGAGAAGCTATCGTTTTCGCCTTCCTTTGAATCCGGCGTCAAGACAGGAAATTGGAAAGAAGACTGAGGAGGGGAGAAAGAGAACATGGTTAGGTTACTTTCTATACAGGAGGCGTCTATCAGGGATGCTATTGTGTTAAAAATTATTATATATTAATCTTATAAACTTAATTAGCTTATATTCTCTTACCTTTTAAAGCTTCTAGGTATCTAGATATAACTTATCTTAGTAAAAGTATTAATATATAACTTTTCTAGCTAGCCTAAATAATTTAGTTAATAAAACCTTTAATAGTTTAACCTTTTTACTATATATATAATCCTTTTTAAAGTTATTTAATAACTTTAATCCTTAGCTTTTAATTTACTAATATATTTTTTAGCTTTTATTAGTCTTTATAGTACTATAGTTTTATTTAACTAATTATAATTATTTTTTAATAACTTTATATTTATCTTATTATTAT